GTGAAAAAAATTTGAAGGCATTAGCATTACACCAGTTCAAAAAAAAGGTTTGTAAATCCAAATAATTATTGCAAGTTTTACTTTTTTATTGGTTTTTAATAGAATTGTTTCGTTAACGCACCAGTTTTCTGTGGTACTGGACTCAAAGAATGGATTGTTCATGGTTCCAAGTTCTTGGATTTTCGATGAAGACGGTGATGTGTTTACACAATATCCCCCAAAGAACGCCATCAATAAACAAAAGCTTGTCCAGGATATGAAGGAACCTGCTAAAGATTGGATAGTAGTGAAAGTGGAAATTCTTTAATCCAATATTTTTTTTGTTGGTAAATTGTAGTTATGATGTTTTACTATGACAAATATAAAAATCATAAAAATTAAATCACTCAGTTCAATTTCTTTAAGATATTTTATTTTTCAGCCCATATTAAGCATATTTCATGATTTTTTTATCGTCACTGAACTGATAACGTGCCGTCGTTATTCCGTCATAATCTCGTCAAAAGACCATCACGCGATCGTCATATGACGTTATCGTATGATCGTCGAATGACGATTTTTTTGTCAAATGACGGTCATATGGCGTTGTAAATACAATCAAAACGACGTCGTGATAACGTCTTATCGTCATATGATGATCATATGATCGTCATTCATGACGTCTTTGTGACCATGACGATCGTCATATGACCGTCATATGACCGTCATATGACGCTTGTGTGCCGCTCGGGTCAGCAAGTTCAGCAATGCTAAATTCAGAATTTCAGTAAAGCTGAATTCAGCAATTTCAGCACAGCTGAATTCAACAATTTTAGCACAGCTGAATTCAGCAATTTCAGCACAGCTGAATTCAGCAATTTTAGCACAGCTTAATTCAGCAAGTTCAGCACAGCTGAATTAAGCTTAATAGAACTCACTCAAAGAATTACACGACTCAATTCAGTCAAATAATTCTTATTAAACATCCATCAATACCTCATAACACGACCCAAACAGCCATTCACAAAACATTCCGATTGCATCGACATGTCGTGCATTTCATGTCTCTTAATAAATACAATAATCGTATGACACGAGACATTCTTACATAAATATTTAATTTTCATTGAGGAGAATTGCAAATGAAAAGATGTCAATAAATGGCCGAGACAATCAATCATTTATAATGAAATGAAATTTAATTAATTTCATGAGTACGTTGAGGTAATGAAAGGCTTTGACACTTTGTTCGCTAGTTTAGTGAGATGTAGGAATGATTTTTAAATTGACTAAGTTCAGAATCAAATTGGTTTAGTGAATTTTTAACCTGTGTCTGATTGGAATTAAGTACAGCATCAAGAACTCGTGCCATACATCCAGCAAATTAAGTTAAAACTCTCAAATTCCAAAGATTCCATCAAAAACCTCAAACCTAAATCACTCAATGTCAAGAATTTTGATGACACAAAGTCAAAACGACTGTGATGAAGGCACAATGATCAAATACAAAGTATCGCGGCGCCGGTTTGTATTATTCATGATTCTTTAAGTCTGCTGATTAATTCAGATTTGCTAAAAACAATGAATCTTCATTTTTCATCCATAAACATTGTAAATTAATAATAAATTCAGCCACAAGTCCCTGACAACTTCATTCATTGTCCCAATTGCAACAAAACTTGTAAAATACTTATCGGATGTTGTGTCAACAAGGTACATGATCAACATTCTTTCCTTTAATGACGGACTTTTCTCCCTTTTTATAATCAATTAAGTGTTCAATGCACTTTTGGATGGTTTCAATGGAAGTGAGTCAAAATGTCGCGAAAAAGGAAGATGAAGAATGAAACTTTTACTTTTACTTTTTTGTGTCGCAAACAGAATTCGGAATGGAAAATTAAAAAAGCGAAAATGTTGGTCTTTGAGACAGAAAATTCGTAATTAACTTTTGGGATTTAATTTGAGCGCGGTTTTCGAATGAAGGAAAATTTGAGTTTAACTTTAAGTTAAGTTTTGGAGGGAAAAATTAAAAACTTTGAAAGTTTGTGATTTTAGAGTCAACAGTTTATGATTAAGTTGATAATTAAGCGCGTTTGTAGAAAAAACATTAAGCGCGTTTTTCCAACGAAAGAAAATTTAAATTCTCTGTTGAATGTTGAAGATCAACATTTTAAATTCAACTTCCAGTTCATAATCATTCTCAACCTCATAATAGTTCTTTCAACCTTCACTACATGGACATTCTCACTGAAACTTAATACGACAATGAAGAATAAAAAAATTATGAATATTTTTATGATTTTTTTTCTTATTATGAAGAACAAAAAGAGATAAAAAAATTTAAATATCGTCATAAAAATTCTATTTGCCGTCTAATAACAATTGAAAGCGATCACTGAAGCATAAATGAAGCATCAACATCATATTCACATTGTCTTTTTAAGCTCGAATAATATCACATTGTCACTTATGTTAAAATTCTCATCCTTAATGCTCTCATTATTATTCTTATTGTTATTAAGAGATTCACATGTAGATGATGCATATGGAGGATCATAAAAGCAGCTTGTTATTGCGTCTCTCTGTGTGGATGGAGATGCACAGAAGGGATTTCTTCTCTGTTTTTTTTTTTTTTGGTAGCATTTTAATCATTTTTGAAAGAAAAGTTTGATGTCTCTTATTTTATGTGGTGCCGTAGTGGTTTCTGCCAGACAATTGGATGGTTTATGATGTGAGTTTGAAACATTTTATTGGGATGCATGAAAAGTTCAGCAATTTTCGAGGATATATGAAGATATTTATGGTTCAATGGGGTGCTGTGAAGTGGGATGTGAATGAATTGTTGATGATTTTGAAGGGAAATTTAAGCTTTTGCTTAGTTCTTTTTATTTTTGATGTCATTTGAAGCATAAAAATGAGAAAGATGCAAAAAATATTTAAAAGAGATGCAAAAAGTTGCAAAATAGATGCAACGAGATGCAAAATAGATTCAAAAAGATGCAAAAGAGATGCAAAAAGATGCAAAAGAGATGCAGAAAAGTCGCAAAGTATAATAAATTGATGCGAAAACTGCCAAATTGAATTTATTTCTAAGTTTCTATTTTTTGTCAACTTTTTCCCTCAATTTTCATCATGACGCTTATTCAAAACTATGAACAATCTGCAGAACATTGACAACAGCTTTTATCATGATTAAATAAAGTCATAAACTTCCACTTGTCCTCAATACTTTATACACAATCCATAAAAATAGAAAAACTCTGTCAAACAGCTTCAAAAAGTGCACTTAAATAAATTTATTTCCTCAAAAAAAAATCAAACTTCTTTGTATCAATTCCATTATTCAAAGGCATCAATAAATAAAAAATTTCAATTTGAAAAAAAACTTTTTCCGGTACTCGAAACAGAAAATTTCTCTCATTTTTCAATTCCTTTAATTTCTTTTATGTTTTTCAATTCAATAGCTGCACAAAATAATACAAAATAGCTGTTAAACTGTTACAAAATAAGAAGGAAACTTTTTTATTCTATCTCAAATATGGCATATTACAATTGAATTGTGTATACATGCTTGCTATATACATAGACAGCAAAGGGAGGGAAAAATTGCTGCAAGAAAAAGGGTTTTGAGTTAAAAAATTCCAATTTTCATTGTTTTGCGATTACGAATTGTGTTGAATTGAATACAAAAAGTTGCGTCTGTTCATTTTACACACATAAAAAAATGCATGACTATAAAGGATGAACAGTTGAGGGGGATAATGAATAGATAGGATAAAATATTACGAGGTTTCTGCAGCCGTTAAATGGCAGTTCATTGGTGAAAAATGATTTCATGGAATTTTTTTTCGATTGTTGGAATATTTTTGGTGATGAGTCAGGGGAAGATTGACTTGAGGTGGAATGTGTTTTGCTAGGTTTTGTTCTGGTTTTACAATTAAATTTGAGAATCAGTTTGTAAAAGTTGCAATTATGTGAATTTGCAATCAAATTTGAAGCGAAATTTTCAAAATTTATGCAAATTAATTAAAATTGATGCGAAACATTTAAAATTGATGCAGAACTTTCGAAATTGATGCAAAGCTTTCAAAATTGAAGCAAAACGTTCAAAATTGATGCAAAACCTTCGAAATTGATGCAAAACTTTCAGAAATGATGCCAAACTTTCGAAATTGATGCGAAACTTTAAAATAGTTGCGAAGTATTTAAAATTGACGCCAAAATTTCAAAATTGATGTGAAACTTTCAAATTGATGTGAAATTTTCAAAATTGATGCAAAACCTTCAAAATTGAGGCAAAGCATTCAAAATTGATGCAAAATAACAAAAATTGATTCCAAAGTTCCCATTTTTATTTCATCAACTAGATTTTCCCCTTTGCCTTTAAGCCTATTTCATTATTTAAAACACACACTCTCACAAAACATAAGCCAAATTCTTACTATACGTACATACAGTAAAGTTACTATATAAATATAATAAAATAATTATGTAATTCGATAGTTATTGTAAAGGCAATAAGTAGAAAGAGAGAGGTCGAGAATATTGAACAGATTTTCATGCTTGTAGGCTTGTGTGTTACCGCAGAAAAAATTGCATTCTACTTCTTTTTTTTTGTAACATTCATTGTGTAAATAGATAGAAAGTTAATAAAGCGAATTAAATGAAGCGATGCAGCAGATGAAAATAAGAATATTGCAATTTTTCTGACTAAAACATCTTTTGTTTGTGCTGTTTGAAATAGAATTGTGAATTGGGTTTGTTTGGAATCGAAAGAAGATCAATTATTAATGGGTTTATGGCTTTGAATCTTCTGGTTTGTAAAGATTAAACTGTGATTTTTTGATTTTAACGATTTTTGTTTGCAATTTTACTTTTTTACGCATAATATTGAAGTTTTCAGAAGATTTGATGATTAGTTCTTATAAAACCCAGTCAAATTGCTTAAAAATTGTAAACTTTTCGATTTTGTGTATTCAAAGTTTCAGGAAATTAGTTTTAAAAAATCTTCTTCAACTCACCAATAAACTTTAAAAATTTCCACTAAAATCCATCTCGGAATTATTTTTCTTCCACTTATTCACTTTTTGTTGCTGAATATTGTCACTGTCTTCTTATTTTCTTTATCACTGATTATTTTCCATACGTCCGATGAATTTTGCAAACAATTTTCAGATTTTTTTATATTAAAATTTTTTTAAACAAATTATTTTTTGTACTTTTTTGTATCTTTTTAATGTCACTTTAAGATTTGAAATCCTCCCCGACGGATGTTGAATGTTAAGAATTCAGTTCCTGGAATTAAACAAAAATCAATAATTTAAAGAAATTGAAATATATATTATTTTAAAATTTAATAAAATTGAAAAAATATTTTTAAAGTTTGAAATCTAAAAAATATCAAAAGTTGAAGTTTTTGCAGACATTTAAGCATGTTTATGTCCACTTTACAGTCCAAACAATATCAACATAAATGTAGCCTTAACAAAAACTTTCCAGACTTCTAAAAATTCATCAAAATCAACTTGTATTCATCTTATAAATTCATCTACTCAATATTCATCGAACAAAACTTCCAAGAACTCCCACAAATCCTATCAGAATTCAAAAATCAAATCAAAAGCTACAAATAACTTTTCATTAGAAATTCTTGAAAAACTTTATCCTTCAGATTTCATCAAAAATCATCCCACAACTCATCACACAGCACGCACCGACAATAAATTGATGTTTCAAAAATTCACACACGGCTAAAAATGCTGAATTTGAAATAGAATTTCCAATCCCTCAGCTCAAGAATCTACGCGACATGAAAACTTTATTTTCTAGAACAGCGAATCTGACATACGTGAGAATAGGAAGACGTACGCAAATTCAGGAATTTCAGTTCCTTTACACACTTTTCACCATTTGCTGTTCTCATCTTATGATGTATGCTGATGTGTTTGAGCACAGAAAAGCCAAAAATCACCCCCAAGATGAAGGAGATGGAGGAAATGTTGAATAAGACATTTTATGAAAATCATTGCCGTGTGTGGATGCTCCATACATTGGCACTTGATAATAGGGGGGATTGCTTGTATTGGTATCGCACACATTTTCATATCCAACACAGATACACAGTTGAAAGTAAGTAGAGAGAATAAAGTCGATGAGCTAAAAGCATGCAAGCTACAGTCATCATCATCATCATCATCATTTATTTTTGTTTGCAATGTTGGGTTTTTGAGGATGCAAAAATTGCACAAAAGCTGTTTATGCGGGAAAAGCTGAAGAGTTGAATCAACAGATTGAAAAATCATGGAGGAGGCAAAAAAAAAAGGGAGCTTTGAAAAGTTTGTGGCTGTGTGGCAATGATTATTAAAGTTCAATATTTGGAGAGGAAAAATCAATGGAAATTGGGTACTGATGTGAATTGATTTTGGGATTTTGTTGTGAAAATATTTCAATTTATGGTTTTGTGGATGTGGATTATAGGTAGGAAATGTTGAGTGGATTTATGGAGTTCGATTTTTCCTTTTTTGAAATGTTTCTTAATTTTAAATTTTTTTATAAAAATATTTTTGAATGTTTCAAAATTCAAAATTTTGATTCAAAAAGTCAAAAAATAAATTTAAAAAATTTCAAAATTCTAAATTTTGATTCAAAAAAGTCCAAAATATTCAGATTTAATTTTTTAACATTCCAACTTCATTGAAATCTTATCAATCCTCAATTCCTTCTCACTGCTCATAAAACTAATCTTAAAAAATTGAAAAAAAGTCAAAAACCAAAAGTACCCACAACAAGCTTGCCTCCAAAAAGTGCAACAATTTGAATGCTCTTCCCACATCAAAACCTCAAAAACTCATTCTCATCCATAAATAAATCCCCCAAAAAAAAGTTCGATACAAATATTCACTCACGGATGAAAACAAAAACAAGCAGAACATCTCACCGGAGTGTAAAATTTATTTTTTATATATTTCCAGCAAAGGCCACAACTTTCACTGTCAGGAAAAAAAAGTAGGCGGTGCTGTCGTGCATTACTAATGTGATTTTTTTCGCAAATAAAAACTTTTTTGGTTGTATTGGTGAGGAACTTTTTTGTGTGTATTGGTAATTTTTAAATGTATTTGTATAACTTGAGTACTTACAAGACACAAACACACATTTGCACAAAAAATTTCCAGCAAGTAAAAGTAAAAAGTTTCTAATTTGTCGTGTAAAACTTTATTTCATGGATGTTAAAAATGTAAATAAAAGTCATGAGCATAAGTTTTCCGCTCCAATTTTGAGGATGATTTTAAGCAAACAGACTGGCACCCAACTTGAGTGAGAAGGGGACGAGGATGATGGAAATTTATGTAACCGATGATAAAATGAAGTTAATTTTCATTCATGAGTGATGTCTTAAATGGGTTTACGGGTCGGAGGATATAAAGGAATATTAATCTCAGTAAATAATGAGTAGGTTGGAGCCTGAAGATCCTAAAACCCCACATCACTAACGAATTACCCCCAAATTTGTATTACTCAGCATAAAAATGGTAATTGAATGAGATGAGAAGGAAAAAGAAGGCGTAAAGAGTTGACATTGATTTTTTTCTCTATTCTATGCTGTGCCTGACTGCCTTGTTAAATCGTTTATCGTCAAATATGTGAAAAATCAAAGATCAAAGGACTTTGTGAGGTGAAATTTATGTATGTGGATAAAAACTAACACGAAAACTAACATGCCGTGCTCCTTTTTAGTCATCGACTCCCACAAACATGTGTAAAATTTTCATTTCAATCGATCATGTTTGTTTAAAATTTAGAAAGTATTCTGTTTGATTTGCAGGAATTGTTGGAAATTCAATTAATTGCTGATGAATTCTTTCGATGTTTATTTACAATTTGCTGGCTGTGTTTTGTTATGCCTTTGACATTCTTAATGATTAAAAGGTTTGCTTGTCAATGATCGAGGATTCGAGGCTGTTTTTTTGTGAATTTTAGAACTTTAGTTTTGATGTAAAATTGATTTAGATTCTCTTTTGAATAGTAAAATGAATTTGCATAGATTTTTTGAAAGTTTAAGTGTGTCATCAAATGTTGATGACCTGTATATGCTGATGAATTGACAATTTAATTCTTTTTATTTTTAATTTTTTGAATTTCTGTTTATTTTAATCTAAGGTTAAAAATTCATTTTCAATGAAATTCTAAATTTAAAGACTTAACAAATTGTAAGGTTGAATATCTTATAATGCCAGAGCAAAGTTTGTATCAATCTGGATGTAGGCAAATCAGACTACATTAAGGCTTCTTTCATCAAAATAATGAGCAACAGACCGAAAACTCGTAACCTACAATTTTAAAAAGGACAAACGTGGGTTCTATTCCCAACAGTGATTGATCTTTCAATCCGTTCTTCATTTGAGAATTTTGTTTAAATGTTAAAGAATTGCTTAATTCTGCCGAAATTGCAACTTTTTTCATTTAAAAATATTGAAAAACTTAAAATTTTAATTATTTTTTAAACTATGAATTATATTTTAGGCACCAGAAACTAGATTACTGCTTTTGTAGTTCGATTTAATTGTTTGTAACATCTTTAACGACGGAACTACGTTAAAATTATTGCGAAAATTAACTTTTTGTTGTGCAAAATTGAAATTGAAATCAATCTTTTTTTGTTTTAAAAATCTTAATAATTCTTTAAAATATTTCTAATAAAAGCGAATATTTTATTTTCTTAAATTAGCTTTTAAATATTTTTAAAATTTTGTCAATTTATTAAACTTTAAAAAAAACTTTCATATGAATCCATAAAACCATAAAATCATTAAAAACTTCAAACAAACAGTTTTCATTTTAGATTTCAAATTGAATTCACCAAAAACTAAGTTTTTCCATCAAAAAAATTCACATTAAAACTTAAATTGCTCAATTCTAGCTGATCGCATCTTCAATCATTGATAAATCTTGTTTAATCACTAAGAAATTTTACAATTATTCTTCAGAATCACAATCATTGATAAAATCTTACAGAAACAGCTTGATTCACTTGATTCATCAATAAAAAACATAAAAGAATTTACAAGAATTCCACTTGTTTGTTTTAAAATCAAATTCCAACCTTTTCCACTTCTTTAGATCTTTAATTCACAGTTTTCTCAATTTAATTGATAACTTTTTAATTTTAAATCATTTCTTCAAACTTTATATTTTTAAAATCCTTACTTAAATTCACAAATTCTCAGAATTCTCCTCGATAAAATCCAAAAAAGCTGCTTTCCCGGCAAAAAAAAACTTTCACCGCACTCGCGACTTTATTATTTTTTTTATTCCTTTTCCGTAACGTTCGAAAAAAATAATAAAAAAATTCGTCCTCAAGTTTATCGGAATTTTTTTTTTGTATATTTTTCAACTTCCCAACTTGCTGAATAAAAATTTTGTTTTATTTTTACGCTCTCCGAGCTCGTAATTGCGATCACGAATGAAGTCAAAATAAAACTGAAAAAGCAAGTCGACATTGAGGTATGTTGAAGTAGTCACAAACATCAGAAATGGATATCGCTGTGGATGTGTGCGTTTGTGAATGTTGAAAAAGAAAAGTTTGGAAAGAAGAAAAGGAATCTGAAAAAGTGGGCGTTGCGTATATGAAAAATAATTTTAATAAATCTCGATTGGTGCTACGGCCATGATACACAGTTGTGTGCTCGTGTCTGTGAATTGAGAATATTTATTTTTAATTTTTTTTTTCACTTTTGGAGAGAGAGTCTCAATGAGTCGTGGACTTTTACTTACAAAATATCAATTTTTTTTCCACTCTGTGTATATTTGCGGAACGAGGGTAGAAGTTGGAAAAGAAGTGACTCTCACTTTACATGTTACTTTATTATTTATTTACGTTCACACACACACACACGCGAGAGTGTGTGTTTACACATGTGTGTGTATGCAGGCAGGCAAACAGTCATAAATAAGTTGGAAATTTATAGCAAATACATATAAATATGGGGGAATAAAAATGTAGATTTTTACGCAGAAATAAAAAGCAGCTCGAAAGAAAAGATGAAGATTTATGAATAAGAACAAACCATAAAATATTTTTTTGTGATTCTTTGGAAACATTTCACCTTACAAGTTTTTCTTTTGTTAATGTTCATTTCTTCTTTATGGAGGGAGTTTTGTTGAAACTATGAAAGTGTTTGTAGCTATTCTGACTAGATGGATATGTAAACCTAGATTTATGAGAAAACAAGAAGCTAATTTCTGGATATACCTAAACCCCAACCTGTATTGCCCGAATAGTACAAGTCTCTTAATCGAATAGAAATCTGGAGCAAAACCGGCATGACTCTGGCATAGTGCTTGCTTCGATATAAATCCAGCACCATGCCAGTGTCACACCGAATTGGTGCCTGATTTCTCATTGATTAACCGACTTGTTCCATTCGGGTTGCATTAGAGCAAACTTAGTATTGTTTTGTAAGCTATAAATCAGCGCAGGTCGATACTTAATATCCAAAAATGAGTTCAAACATAATTTATGACATGACAAGGAAAGAAAGCACTAGTTTGGTCTAAATCCTATTGGTCTAGTGTTGTTCAAACATGATGTCTATGAAAAATAAGGTTTAATTCTTTTCTAGAGTGCTGCATGTTTATACTCTATGTCAGTGGTGACAAACCTTGAGCTACGGCACACTTTACTGGTAAGCCATGACCAAAACCGCATACAGCATATGGTTCGTGAGGTTTATTGAATTTTTTTTTTTCGGTGTACTGTAAGGAGCATGGTTGCAGCAGGTCAAAGTAAACAATTCAGACTTTAGGACAATTATTAAGCAGGTTTCTCAAAACAGCCTAGGAAAATTTAAAAATTTTCCAATATTATAAAGTTTTTGATTCAAAATCCACCCAAATAAAACCTTGTTCATCACATGTTCTTAAAAAAATGCGCCGTAAGCTCCCAACCCTCATGCAACTCTAACTTGAATTTATCATCTTTCTCCCTTTTATACCAGAAAGAGCACAAAAAAAATTATAGCTCAAGTTTTAATGGAAACAAATAAAAGTTTTTTTTAAACCACCGAGGAATATTGTGAGAGACAGCAGTCAAATTAGCGATAAAACTTGTGGTTTTTACAGTCAGATGAGGAAGTGAGGAGAAGCTTTTTTTACTCAATTTTCATGTTTCTGCTCTTTATGCTTATCACCATAAAATCCATAAAAAATGTTTCAATAGATTTTTTTTTAAATAATAAAGTTCCTGTGGATATGCCTGGTTGCTATGATTGTTGAGAATTTACAGGTTTTGTGGTTGTTGTGCTTGTTTATGAAAATTTACAAATTCTGATGAAATTCTCAGAAATTATTCAATTTGCGGTGATTTTGTGGATTTAATTAAAGTTATGTTTGGTGCTTGTTCTGGTTCTTGGAAGGATACTGAATTTAATTCATTATGATTTGACTTAAAACAACTTTAGGATTTAAATTAACAATATTAAAGACTCGTGGTCTCTAGATCTTCAAACTTCAAATAGGTCACTGACCTCCAACCAATCCCATCCCACCACAAACTTACTTTACCTCAAAAATAAAAAAATCATCTGAAAACAACAGCATAAATAAAGCTATAAATGTTTCTAGCATCACAAAAAGAGTCAACAAGAGAACAACAATCAATGTAAATGGCTACGAGAAAATGAGAAAGGATATAAAAAGCACAGCACATTGTTAACTGTGTTGATGATGAAAAAGAAAAAAAAAATAAACTTTCGACACAATGACACTGATTTTAATTTAATTTTTAAACTGAACAGAAAATTTGTTTGTTCTCCTTTTTCGCTGATGATGCTAAAAATTGTGGATGTCTTCTTTTATTGTTTTGTTTTTTCGGGACGAAACTAGTTTAATTTTGGTTGATTTGAGGTGAAGAGTTTTGGTTTATTCGGGGTTGTGGATTGGTGGAGTTTGTGTGTCTACTTTGTATGGAGCTAAAGTCATACCTTCTTCTTATCAAAATAACCTAGGACTTCTGGTGATTTATACCCAGAACTAGTTTAAGGATAGCTTTGAACAGACTTACTTAAGATTTAATTATGTAATACTCCGAAATCAGTTTCCAGACCTACTTATGACATCTAAACTATGAAATTTAAATCATAGCTTTAAAAACCACCTCCTGATCAATGTTACACAACAATAATATGCTTACATACCTCTTAGATCCTTGACTTGAGTTAACTCACTTCAAAAATTACAAAATTTAATTTTACAAAAAAAAACATCAAAGCTTTCCTAAAGAATTGTTTATTTCAATCCAAAAGCTTAGTTTTGCTTATCAAAAATCCTCAAACCTCCTTGAATTACTTCTCCATCACAAAACAACTCAAAAAAAGCTCAACAAAAAAAGAATTAAAAACAGCAAAACTTTTCCATTTGTGTCTCACATTTTTCTGGTGCTGAGCATGAAAATGAAAATCGATAGTCGTTAGCTGCGCTCGATTGCCAGCCTCATCCCTGTTTTTTTTTTTTTCATTTCTGTGTCCTGTTGTTACTTTATATGGAGTGAGAAAGTGAATCAGTGTGGAAGAAAATGAGAACTTTTTTTTATATTTGGGATTTTACGGGGTGTTGTTGGACTGTTTACCACTCGTCTCATTCACTTTGTTTGTTTGCTGACGATGCTGTTTTTTTTTGGATGTTTTATGATGCGAATTAATGAATTTTCAATGTCAATGAAATTGTCTGACTGACTTGTTTTTTGTGTGGAGTTGCTTTTGACTTAATGGAATTAAATTGTACTTCTATGGCTATGTATGCATCAGTAGCTTATTCAGGGTGACTTATTACAATGATCTTAATGCTCATTTCCTTATACTTTTAGTTAAAATGACCAAAAATTAGTCTATGCCTTAATACCCAGCCCCGTATCCTGCATACAGCTCTTATAGGAATTCCCAAAAATTAATCAATCGTTGACACGTGGAACGAGTCACAAGGATTACATAAAATGGACATAAAACTATTTAAATTTTTGCTATTTTGTAATTTTTCCTCAACCTCATAAATCTTTCACATTTTGCGGATAGGACAGCAGTGAGTTGACGTTCCTTTTTCGGATGTAATATTTTGATTTACTGTTTGTGATGTCACGATTAAATTTATGGCTGAATATTTTTTTACATTCATCCTTTAATGCCATTCCTTGCTGTTGTGATCTATGGATCATGTGCTGTATCTTACTGCCACTGTTGTTGTTTCTTTTGCTGCTGATGATGTTGAAATGAAATATATTATTATCATTGGACAGACAGGATGAATAATGAGACTCAAAATGGGCTAGAAATGGAAATCATTTGAGAGATGAGAAGAAAAAGTTTGAAATTTTGATTTATTTTCTAGGTTTTGTGTCTTGTGACTTGTTTTGTTGGAATGGATTGTTGGTTTTTGTGTAGATTATGCTGATTGACTGTGTTGAGAATATGTTAACGGTGATTTTAAATTCAAATTATGTGAGGAGCTATTAATTGATTTCCCCTTTTATTGTTGATAATCCCCTTCAAATTCGGTATGGTAGCTCGAAGGTCGTCGGTTCGAATCCAGCCATTTCCAAATTTGTTCTTTTTCAGAAGTTTAGATACTTCGACTGCTTAACGTACGAGATCAACCCATAATTGAGCATTTTGGGCAACGTTGGATTAAGGAACGGATCAGGAACTTGAAGTGTAGCGGGAGAAATAGGAACGAGAGCTACAAGATTACCCACGAATGGAATATTGTCAGAACGGACCTGAAATGTATCACGTCACGCCCATAGAAGATTGAAACGAGAGCCTGAATATAATCGAAACCTAGATTTGAAGATTAGAAGCTTGATTCTACGTCACCCATAGTGATATGAAATGTATCACTAATCAATGTAAAAAGTAAAACATGTATAAATACTAATTCTTCCGGAAGGTAACGTCGACAAATAAATAATAATAATTCAGTTTACGTCTGATTTTTGAAGAATAAACAAGTTTATTACTTAATAAAATCTGTAGAGTTCACAGTTGTCCTTATAATTCCTTATTATCTGTGATCATCACCTCGACAGACTGTTTTATCGAATTCAGATAAGTATTAAAGACTTTTTAATATATTCAGCTTTTTTGGATAATTTTCATAAAAGCTTAGCATTTTCTCAATTCTGATTTAGGCTAAGCACTAAAACATTCCAAAATCAGCTCACTGAAGAATGAAACATTTTTTTACATCCTTAATTTCGCTTCTCATTCACAAAATGAAAATCTTCTCTCGATCTCAATGACTTTATTTTGTTTTATGACTCTTCCTTTTCCATTTTAATATATACTTTGCATAACATGCATAAATATCTCTATGAATCACATTCATCTTCTCCTGTTTAAGTCTTTTTTTTCTACCATTTTTATTATAATATGAAAAAATTGTAAGAATATCATAAAGGAGATGAAGAGATTTTTATAGCTTCTTTTATTATAGAGCACTTAAAATTATAAATCATAAAATAGCATCGTAAACTTTTTCATTCTTTTTTTTGCGATTCTACACCGCCATTTCATACTTTTTATTATGCTTCTGATTCTTTATTTTCATTTTGTGTTATTGTTTCATATTTTTGTGTTTATCATGTATTTGGTGGAACAATAGGGATGATTTCAAGTTGAAACGGGTCTGGGACTGCAATCAT